ATATTTATTAATACTTTATTAATTACACTATTTATTTATTTATTTATTTAAATTTGAATGAAATGGTTCTCCATAACTGAGGAGGGTTTGAGAGGAAATTGAAATTTGTTTAAAATTTAAAAGCCAACACTGGCAGCCTTTGCAACCCTTGCAGGGAAACTGAACAACACCATCGAATTTTTGAGACATTTTACAAATGCTGTTCACCAGAATTCACGTGGAATGTTGGCGAACGGTAACATGTTTTAATATTTAGTCTCCAGTAGTTGCAGCCCAGAAACTTTCTTAAGTTTAATGATAATGGTAGGCGCAGCAAACCAAAAATTTAGCTTTGCTAATGCTAAACGGCTAAATGAAAAAAAAATTGCTGAAGCTATTGCTAGGACCACTGTCAGTCAGTGTGCGTCCAAATTCAGAGGCTGGGTCCTTCGAAAGACCCGGCCTACCCGGTCTAGGTGGGCCAAGTCCTTGGTCAACCGTGAAGACCGGAAAAAAGTAGCTGTGATTTTGGACGGCCTAGCCTCCCATCCTTACCYTGGTGTACATCCTGTCGATGCTATCAATATATAATAAAATTAGGTGGCACAATAAAGTAAGTGGCTGACAAATTTGGCCTTCAGAGGACACAGCCCCTAAATTTGGACACAGCTTGCAGCACACATCTTTGTCTCCTTTGAGCTGAAGACTGCTGGGTCTAATACAACCCTGTTTGGTGTTAGTTTGTTAGTTCTCTCTCACCTGATAACGCAGAACATGTTGATGTTTGCGTTGTACATGGAGAAGTCAATAAAGACGACTCGGGTTCCTCGATCCAGCCAAAGGTTGTCCATCAATTCGGCAAGAGCGTTCGCGCTGTCCTCTCTTGTTCGATTTAGGTCTTGATAGTATCCCGCTCCGCTGTAGGTGGTCAGCAGTCCCCAGTAGGAGGAACCTTTGAGCTCTTTCTCTGTGTGGTAGGTCCAGCTGCAGGAGAAGACAACCCCCTCTAAAGAACAAATTTTCATATTATGTTTTTGGAATTTGTTGTGAAACCTTTACAGTAAATGGCTTACGCAGTCCCATTGATGAGACCGAAACTGAGGTCGTCCTCTTTCTTCTCATTGTAGACATCGTAACATCCACTGATCTCATTCTTGAAGTCTTTGTAGACCTGGCAGGAGTTGTTCTTGATCTTGATCTGCCTCATCCTGGGAACACCCAGCAGCATATTCTCATAGTAGATGAAGGATTGGTCCCCGTTGTTTAGGGACTGGTTGTTGTACCATCTCGTCCAGTAAAGGCCATCTAGTAAGGTACCTTGGGCATACTGGTCAAAAACAAAGGGAGTGATTGCCGTTTGATTTGCACCTTTATTTGTGTGTTATTTTAAGAACATGAGAAATTTAAACAGAAGAAAACTTACAGTCCAGAAGTCCTCCATGGTGCCAATAGACTGAAACGTAACTCCATTCGCATTGGCTGTATTCACAAACAGGTTCGTCATGGCATTGGTGAAATAATAGGTGCTCGAGCTCGTCATGCCGTACGTCACTGAAACAACGTAATCACATTGTTAACACCTGACCACCGGCTCCTATCTGGCTTTGTTCAGGCCCTGCTCTAAACGTCGCTCCATTCAGAAGTCTGAGATAAGACCTGCCTGAGCGACAGACAAGCATGGTCCAATTGAAGTCTTTGGCTTTGTTTGTGTCACTAGATCCAGATTAGGGGGCTGTAATTTGTTTGAAGAGAGAGTGCGCTGGCCTAACGCAGAAAGCCTCATCAAACAATGTAAATCTAGTAGAGACAAAGCAACAAAAGACCAAAAGCTCTTATCGCTAAAAGCCAAGAGAGCCGGACCCGTTTCTCTTTCAGTCCTAATGCTCAGCTGGACAATGATGGGAGGGGAACCCTTAGTAACAACTGAAGCAAAATGGAAAGTTTTGTAAACACGCTAATTGTGCTCACATTCTGAACCAACATTTTACTATTACCTTTATCAGATAATTAATTTTATTTAGATATTTTACTAACAGGCTCAATAAAAGAAACGTATTGGTCACCTTTCACTTTCAACAGATAAAACAACAAAACCTGGAAAAGTTGTGTAACTCGAGAAGGGTTGGTAATTCAAAACTGATTACAAGAAAAGTAAACCACTTCAAGCAGGAACAAAACAGCAGATTGTTTATTTTTATTTCAAAGTAAACCTTTCAGTTTATCATCGGCTGTTTTTGCACTTGTATAACTGATTTTAAAAAACACTTACAGAGACAAACATCTACCAGGAACAATACGTAGACCAATAACTCCCGCAACGTGGTTTGGACAAACTTTTCCCGGTTGTTCGCTGTGTTTTCGGTCCACGCTGTACCCCACAAACCTACGGAAAACATTAGGAATAATAATATTATTATGGAACATCAGATTTTTATCTCGTGCAAATTAAAAACTAGTTGATATGTTGTGGTAAAATGGTCAAAAATGGGTTCCTACCTTTAATGAAAGAGCAGCAGCCTCTTCTCTTCTTCATAATCACTTGGCCTGAGGAAGAGGAGGAGGGCTCCTCTGGACCTGGGGGGTCCAGTTTGTAGACGCCGTCCGTGGAGCCCTGAAAGTGGGTCTGTGGGCTGTAGATGGTGCTGACCACGCGGGGGATAGGTGGAGGGGAACCACGGTAGCCATGATTGACCCAGCCGCCACCGCCGTTCACCGTGCCGTCCACCTCAGACTCCACCTGCCCCGTCAGGTGGCTCTCAGCCCGGTTGTTCACACACTTCATCCTCTGAAGGTTTCTGGGTTCTTGAGCTCAGCAGAGAGAAAAGTGAAGCTGGATGGAGGTGGAAGATGTGTTTTTAAAGGAGGACCTCAGCTCTGTGAGGGAGGAGCTGCTGGTCCTTCAGCTTTTATAGTCCTGATCCTGAGACTCATTTCAAAACAAATACTGAGGTAAGGTGTACTTATGGACATATTTTTGTCCTGTTACTAATGGACTTTAGTTGGACAATATTTACAGGAGTTTTTGTTTACTAAAAAGGTCTAAAATAATAAAAATAGGTGAAACAAGACATTAAACCTAAAATGAAACTCATTACATGTGACTATTTTTTGTTTATGCAGACTAAGTTTATGAATTATCTAAAATTTTCAGGTGTATGTCTAAGTTCAATAATTATTATTTTTTATTCTTCTTGATGCAGTCTGAGTTCATGAATTGTTCTTTTTTTATTGTATATTTAAAATTAGGTTGACCTTTATTTATATGTTCTTGTTGTATGAAAGCAAAACATTTATTACAAAATCAGTTTTTGGTTTTATTTCTTAACATAAATTATTAGAAATACAGCCTGGTACTTTCACGTTAGTTAGAGCTAATGTACTTATTTGATACGTACCAAGTATTAAAGGGTATTTACTGGTCGTCTACAAAGCATTTTCTTGATGACTACTGTGTACATACAAGGTACTTACAGGGTACATAGTGTATGTACTGGATACACACGAGGTGGTTACATACCAGGAACACACAGGATTCTCATCGGTTGGATACTTACCAACAATTATAGGGTACTTACTAGGGGTGTAAGAAAATATCGATACACTGAAATATCGCGATATTTCATTTTCCGATACGGTATCAATATTCTAAAGTCCTGTATTGATTTTTAATTAAGGTTTAAAATGTCAACTTTCCTGCCAGCCATTCATTTTTATGTTGTAGTTCAGCCTCTGACCACTAGTTGGCAGCAGTGAGCCAGCCATTTGGCTCCTCTACCTCTTGAGCACCAGAGAGTAAGGGTAGCATTAGCATTGTAAGTAAACATTAGCTTCATGCTCCGATAGCTGAATCTGAGCGGAAAAGACCGACACCCTCTGCCTTCTAAGCAGAGGTAAGGTTACAGTTACTTATTTGTCAGAATGTCTCTATTTTAAACCAAATTAAGTGTTTCGTGCGCTCTTTTTCCCAACTTTAGTCAGCTTTCACGTTACAGAAGGCTAGCGCATGTCTGTATAAAATAATTTTCTGGGACAATGAATTTTGGTTTTTCATTTTTTTTCCGGTAAGAGGTTTTTATTTAATATAATTTTTGGACCAAAAAAAAAATCGCAATATATCACCTTGTTTACAGTATCGCAATATATCGGGGTATATCGTATCGTGACCCGTCTGTCATGATATGTATCGTTTCGCCAAATTCTTGCCAATACACAGTACTTACCAGGTATATATGGCACCTACAGGATTCTTACTGGCCGTGTATCAGATACATCATGGCCAATATCTGCGCCTCTAAAATGTTTTGTTCATTTGACTTCTGAGCATACGAGCAGAGTAACAAGGACCACCTCTAGATGGGAGTGCAGTACTCCAAAATTAAAATCTACTTTCAGATAATTTGTGTTCTACAATGCAACAAAGGATGTTCCCCGCAGATTTGAGGGCTAATATAAATTATAGAACTTTATTTTAAAAAAATGGATTCTAAGAAACCAAACTTGTCAACACTGACTTTTATCTTTTTAACATATTGTAGTATTTTGTACATATTTGGAGTTTGTGCACCGTTTGGTGTGTGTTGCTGTTGCGTGGGTTGATGTTTTTGTATAAGCAGATGGCTATGATTTTTTATACAGTATGTACTCGTTTTTATTCTATTTTTTAACTTTTATGTTTGTAGTATTTTTACTTGTCAGAGACTGCAGATGGACATGATCTGATAGCTGTTATCTGGTACATCTGTACTTATTAGTTTAATGTTTTTCTGTACATAGCCTGACAAATAAACTAAAAACTAAGCTACTTCCAGGGTACTTAGTGGGTACATACTGCATATTTACTGATAATAGAGTGGGTACAGGGCACTTACAGGGTATGTACATTTGTACTAATGTGTACTACTAGGCACATGGCTACTTACAGGATTATTACTGGGTTTGTATAGGTAACACAAAGTGTTAACTTGATAATTACTGGGTATTAATGGGGTACATACTGACTATTTTAAAGGTAGTAACAGGGTACTTACTGGGTATTTACCCTGTACGTACAGGATACTTACTGGGTACCATTGTATGAACATCTTACTTACTTTCTTACTTACCACCTACCAGATATGTACTGGGTACTTACAGGTTACTTACTGGGTATGTACTGGGTACTTACAGGTACTGTGTATGTACTTGGCTGTATTACATATTTTCACTAGTACCATTAAAGTTTTCAAGCAGCAAAATACTGTTTTCAATGAAAATGTTCTTTATATTTACAGACTAATTATAAGAAATATAATATTTTATGAAGAATATGATAATGAGGTTGTAAAAATATTTTGTAATTATTCTTTCATGTCCTATAATTAAATAATTTAACCGTCTAAAAGATGTTTTAATTAGTTTGAGCCTTTCAGCTGTTTCCACGCTGCGCTCAGTGTTGTCACCATCAATTAACAGTCGATCCAACGACGTCTCCCTGAGAGGAAATCAATTATCGTGTTTTCTGCCACCAGCTGTTCACTTGTGGCTSAATTAATTGTCGTGTCGCCGAAGGTCTCGACCTCATTTGCGTTACACACTTTTCAGATTTACATCATTTTTTTCTGCACTTTTTCCGATTTAATGCATGTTTTTTTTAGCGTTTCATCAATTCTGGCTGTTTGTGTCCATTTCACTTCGAAACAAACAAAAACAATGTAAAAACACTAAATGTTTCTGTTGTTATGTTTTATTTAGAAGTCAACGCCCGGCTCTGGAGGTCCAGTTTCAGGCCGGCTGAGTGGGTTTGATGGTTTCTGCATCAGTGGTTCTGAACAGACCGATTACTCGCAGCTATTATCACACAATGGAGTTTAATTTCTGCTTCCCTGCCACACAGGCTTCCTTCTCTCTGCTCAGGCTTGTGCCAAACCTTTCAGACTCAAATCTGTTTCATCACTTTTCTGTTAAATTTGTATTCAGCACTGATAGATCATCCCAGAAACACCTGAAGCAGTTAAACGGTTGCAGAGACGGATATTTCTGTCCTGCCGGTGACGTGGGAGAATCTTATCTCAAAGAGCAGAAACGTTGGACAAAAGGATGATTTATTTCCTAGCAAGCAGCCAAACCAGGTTGTTCTCTGCAAAACCCTGTTTAATAAACACAAAACTATGATTTTAACAGTCTAAATGTTAAGATTATACTAAATTATAGAATCTAATTTAAACTACTTTTGTGATGTAATGTATTATTTTGTATTGCACTAAGTAAAGTTTATTTTTAGTTCATYGTTGCACAATAATATGGAAACGATAAATCTAAAAGAAAAATGTTTCTGAAAAAATATTTTATATTTAGAAACAACTGATCAAATTAAAATTTATATCCCAATTATGTAAAATCCAATGTCGTGAAGTAAGCCGAATTTAATGACATGTTTAAGTAGACAAACTAAAACAAAACAAACAGCATTTCTTATGTAGCTTTTTGATGCTTAAACTGAGGTGGTTAAATTAAAMGAAGCAGAGCAGATTTGAAATTAGCAAAGCAGATGCTAACGTTAGCGAAGCTTGATTTAAAATGAACAGATTAATAGATAAAAGCTAAAATAGAAAAATAGATGCTAAAAATAGCAAAACATGCTAAAGTTAGCGAAAGACGTATAAGCTAGGTTTAGTAAAACACTGCTGAAAATAAAATTAGCAAAACAGATGCTAAAATTAGCAAAAAAATGCTAAAGTTAGTGAAAAACATAAGCTAGGTTTGGTAAAATGGATGCTGCATCTAAAATTAGCAGTAAAGATGGTAAACAGTGAAAGCTAGSTTTAGCAAAACCTAGCAAATTAGCAAAAATAGTGGCTAAAATTATCTCAGCTTTGGTAAAAGTAGCAGCAGTTAAAAGCTTAAAMGTAGCAAAACAGATAAACAAAATATTTACAAGCTAAACCTAGCAAAACACGGTAAAGCAATTAGCAATTAGCAAAATTAGCTGAAATTACTAAATTAGCTGAACTTTAGCTAAAAGCGAAAAAGGAGCAAATGGTAGCTTAAGCAAATGCGTAAATAAATAAATAAATAAATAAATAAATAAATAAATAAATAAATAAATAAAAAGCAGAATGATAGCTAAAAGCTAATGGCTAAATGCTAGTTAAAGCTAAATGGTTGCAAAAATAGTGGAAAGGAGCAAAAAAAATAATTTAAATTGAATAGTAGCAAAACAGTACCTAAAAGTTATTAGTGGTAGAACAGTAGCTAAAAGTACCATAAGAGTCAGTAACTAAAGCTATTTTTTTAAAAAGAACAGGATTTAAAGAGGTCTGAATGTTTTTCAATACAGAATTTTATTTTGAATAAAGTAAAAAAGTAGCTAAAAGTACCATAAGAGTCAGTAACTAAAGCTATTTTTTTAAAAAGAACAGGATTTAAAGAGATCTGAATGTTTTTCAATACAGAATTTTATTTTGAATAAAGTAAAAAATTTGAAAAAATATAAAAGTTACAAAAACCAAACATCGTAACACATTCTTCCAAAAAAAAAAGGCTGAACATTTTTGTATTTGTGTGATTAAAAGAGCACAAAGTGACAGAAACTATAAACAGGAAAACAATAGTGCTGAGTCAGCATTCACAACTTTAAACTAGTTTTTTATGAAAAATACTTTTTTTCTTACAAAAATAAAATCACAAACCGACAGACTCTGCTCCGATTGTCTTTTTAAAGCTAAATACAAAAATAAAGCAATACAAACGTATTTACTGCTGCCCAGAACGGTGGGGACGGTTCACATTGTGCTACAACATGACTGATTGTTCAAACGGTGCCGGTTCACGAGTGGACCGGGTCGAAGTGGTACGACAACGTGGACTGAACGAAGTCCTGTCCCGTGGGGTGGTCGTACCTCAGGAGGCAGGAGTCGGGCTGAACCTCAAACTGCAGGTCCAGCCACTGCCTGTGAGGAGCSGCGTGCCTCCTGGGGTCCGTCAGGATCCGGTTCAGGGCCATGATGTAGCTGAGGGCCATCTGCAGGGTCTCGTACTTGGACAGYTTTTTGTCCCGCCCCCACTGGGGCACCACCTTACGTAGCCGGTCGAAGGCCGTGTTCAGACCCTGCATCCTCTTCCTCTCCCTGGCGTTGGCGGCCATCCGTCGCCTCGTGGCCACTTCGTATTTCTCCGGAGTCTTGGAGTCCGGCTCCGAGGACTCGGATCCGGAGTCGGAGCAGCTGTTTTGGCAGGACTTCATGGCCAGGCTGAATCGAGCCGATAAACGAGTCGTTCCCAGWGTCTCGGCTCGGAAAGTTCCAGAGGGGTTCCTCGCTGCGAAGGTCCTGGTTTTGATGAGTGTTTCCAGAAAGTGAGCCTGAAGAGTTCAAGGTGTTTGTGGTCCGAGACCCTGGAGGGCAGCAGCTTTTATAAGACGGAGGAGATGAACAGGTGGCAGCAGGTGGAGACCCCCCGCCCCCCTCAACCCAAACCCTGCACTCAACATGGAGAAACACACACACACACACACACACACACACACACACACA